TGGTAGGCCCTTACCTTTGCTAAAGATAGGAGAGGGAGTAGAGTGGTTGGACTGCCAGATAGTTCATATTGAATGGTGAGTCTTATACTAATGACCTGGTTTATAGGACGCTGGACCCGGTTTCCAGCTTGATATTGTTTACCTTTCATTTCCCGGTGGGCCTCTGGCCATTGTTGTCTGTTATTGAGTACTTGGCCTAACAGGGACGCTAGACCTGGTTTCCAACACTTCATGATATGGTGGAAGCGGTGTCTGTGGTCATCGATCTCTGCTCGTAAGTTAAACTGGCTGAGGCTGCCAGGATAACTCCAGGTTGAATTGTGGGGTCCCCGACCTCATCTTAGAATTTTGTGCAATATATTGATACATCTTAAAAAAATAAAAAATAAAAAAAAATCAAACTGTAACCATGACCTCGCCCTGCTTTTCTAAAAAGAAAAAGGTTCTTCTTCTGAACGAGTGAGGGGAGGGGGGGAGAGAGAGAAAGAGAGAGAGAGAGAGAGGCCAGATAATGCGAAATGGAAATGAATTTTCTAGGTGCTGCGAGAAGATGCATTTCCATTTTGAACTTTAAAACGGTATTCGCGCAAAGAGAGAGAGAGAGAGAGAGAGAGAGAGAGAGAGAGAGAGAGAGAGAGAGAGAGAGAGAGAGAGAGAGAAAGAGAGAGAGGCGAGTCCCCCCTCCCTCCTTCCCCTGCGGTATTTGATAGTTTAAAATAAATATGAATCTTCCGACTCTTGGGAGTGATTGAATTTCCCATTTGCACTGTTGCCCCCCCCCCCCTCCCCTCCTCTCTCTCCGTCTCTGTCAATCTCTCTCTCTTTCCCCCCCTGCCCCCCTCTCCCTCCTTTCCTTCACGTTTAGTTTTTCCCTGAACGCAGTTCGTCCCGGCCCCGGCTATTTTTTTTTTAATAAAAAAAAAAACGTATGATTTTTTTTTTTTTTTTTTAATTATCGGTTTACCCATGATTTTGGGCACAACCGGGCTCCTCCCTGACCCCGTGTTAACCGCCGCATATTTGTTTTCAAGCAGGGAAAGGTACTGCTGGTTTAACAAATGGTAGGTACTAGTGGTTTAAACCATCTCTCTACCCAATAATGAAAATTTGGGGGAACGTAAGCACATGTTTATGAGGGCTATCGGTAGCACAGTGGGGAAAACCGACAGAATGACAAAAAAAAAAATGCGACTAATTGCCGCGATAATTTATTTCGTTGTTAAAACAATTAAAAAAAAAAATCCAATTATATTTCCTGGGAATCACAAAAAATCTGCGGACCCTTCAATTTGCAGATTTTTTTACTTACACTTCCAAACGTGAAAAATTGTTCGAATGGGGTTATTTTTCCCATTGACCAACGAGTCGTTAAAGGTGAAAAATAAAAAATAAGACAATCGGCACTGCATTCATTTCGCGATCTATTTTGTATTTTTATAAAATATTTTTCATGAAAAGATCTCGAACAAATGTATAAACCCTCCAAATTCCAGTTTTAGAGGCATTAAGCTGAGGTCTGAGCTTTTTATAACGTGTGGCATGGTGGGACGGAGCTCTGTCGTTGATGTATTGCAATCTAATTGTACCGAGATACAAGAGAATAACCTATTAGATTTTGTCATTTTGTAGAATTTTTCTTAGACGTGAAATTCGTTTTGTAGTATGTTTTGACCCTTTTGGTCCAGGCGGGAAACCATTTTCCATTGAGAAAACTCTCCTACAGAGGGTAGGGTACACTTCTTAATTGCAGTGCCTTTTTTTTTGGGGGGGGGGGTAGATATCATTTCATCCTGAAACGGAGAAACTCTGACAATTGTGTTCGGCTGTCTTACATCAAACTCATTTCAACTGCCATTTTGTCAAAACGGGTATCTTTTATTTTTTGAACGAAATTGAAACCGAGTTTTTTAGCTGAAAACTCGTCAAAATTTGTTGTTCCTGAGGGTCCTGCGTTTGTAAAACGTTGGACCCTCTCGCTGTACATGGACCTAGCTTGAGATCAGGGACATCCACGCATGTCCTTCGTCTCAAGCTAGGTCCATGTACAGCCAGGGGATCCAGCGTTTGTAAAACGTTGGACCCTCAGGAACAATAAATTTTGTCGAGTTTTCGGCCAAAAAAGTCGGTTTCAATTTCGTTCAAAAAATAAAAGATGTTCATTTTGACGAAATGGTCGTTTTGCCTTCTTTGGGCAATGAATGCAATTGGCCATCCACGTTGTCCCTGTCCATTTTACAAATGGTGACCTCCTATTCCCTCACCACGGGAAGTATCCCTTTTTCACAGAGACATTCACTCCGACTGTTCCAGACATGTTTCATTTATTCGAGTTACGTTATAAAAAATAAGGAGAAAAACTGTTTCTAGTGTTTTTTGTTTTTTTTCCAGACCAGACCCCTTAGGGAAAAAAATCGTGGAAGTTCGGGTACTTTTTTTTTTTTTCCTTTTTTTTTACGAAGTTGGCTTACACGTTGTAGAATGACAAAAAATGGAGGATGTGAAAATTTGGCGCAACATTTATTTCATTGTGTAGAAGATTTTTTTTCATTTTTCTGATATTTTTCCTTGAAAGATCATCATGACCTAATCTCTAGAATCTCCAGTTTTCAGATTTGACCTAAGTTGGGTAATGGTCCCAGATTGTGTGCTTCCAGGTTAGGCTACCAGAGTGGCCCGGGGTTACTTGCCCGGCTAGGCCAAAAAAATAAAAATAAATAAAATATTTTCGTATTGGGATTTTTATTTTAAAATTGGTAAATCATTTTGATGCGACCCTGAGGCAAAAGTTGTTCAGTTTATTTTTCTGCATAACATAGTTTTTTTTTTTTTTTTGCTGGGACCTTCTCTAGTCCTTGCACGGGCTGGCCACGAGGGACCCGGGCGGCCCGAATTGTAGCCTAGCTTCCAGGTCGTTTGTGGAGGTTTTCCCAGCCCCCGCCACTTTTTTGTGATAATAAAGGTCTCTCTTCCATTAAAGGAAAAAAAAACAAAAAAGTTTTCATATTTGTTTTTTTACTATTCTCTGCGCAAAAAATCACCAAAGTTGGCACTTGAAAATTGCGTGACGGGACCCACCTCGGCCTTTTTTTTTTTTTTTAACACAATTCATATTCATATATCCGAAAAACGGGCCCAGTGTCCCTTAAATCATTTGTTGCGGTCAAACGAGCTAAGTAAGGCACTCCAGGCCAAACCTATCCCCACCAGAGCCTCATAAGGTTATGAAAACCAATGATCCCAATCCCAACCTTAAAACTCACGTTCACTAATTTAACAAAAGTTAAATCCTAATCTACCCTCTCTCCAAAGTCCAAACCACCATTATCAAACAACCCTAATCTCCACCAACCAAGGTTACGAAACCTATGATCCCAATCCCAACCCTAAAACAAAATTCACGTTCCCTAATTTAACAAGACTCAAATCCTGATCTACCCCTTTCTCCAAATCACCATTATGAAACAACCCTAATGTAGCGAAATCAAAGCTAGATAACAGACCACCAACCAAAACATAAACAAAATATATGGTTTCATCCTACTTACCCACCACCAACTAAGAACAAAAAAATTCAATAGCGTCTTACCCACAAATAGTCAATGATGTCATGGAATTACCCAACCCATGGGCGAAACCGACAGGGAACGTATTCCAATGAAGTAACACTTCTAAAATCATCATTGGTAAACACAATCTTCTATACTCACAATGCTTGCAATTTAGGGAAACACAGTCAATAACTGTCAGAGCACCAAAAAACACCCTGCCCGAAGTAGGAGTAAAGGCAACAGTGGACAACCCCGCTCACAGCTTGAAGTCCGTTGTCAGCGACGGTGGATGATACCAATCACGGCATGAAGTCCGTCATCCATCCCGGAAGTCGACGTTTATCGATGTACTCACGTCTTTCATCCCGAGCTCTTCATCCAGATAAAACTGTATCCACTCCAACAATGCATTTGTTCTCCGGCTACCAATCAGCGGACAGAGCCCCTGATCTGGCTAAGGCAAGGACCCCACAGCTTTGCGGATGGAAAAGTGCTTTGCCCACAAAAAGCGGGCAAGTCATTTTGGAAAGTCGGACAGTACTTTTTCCGGGGCCCCATCGCAGAGGGCCGAATGTGCTTGGAAAACCCTTTGGAAATCACTTGAGCCAATCGTTGCCTGTTTCCGTTGGCCCTCGTCTGTCACTGTTTTATTCTTTTTTCCTTTTTTTTTTTTTTTTTTTTTTTGTTGTGGCACTCTTCATATCTATTGGCTGCTACCTTTTCTGAGACTTTTCCAGAAACAACATGCCCTCCCCCCTACCCTCTACGGTCGGCACAAAATTGCGGTGAGGAATCCTCCCGTGATACTTTTCCAGGCCGCGGACTATGTGAAAACACAAATTGATGTTTTTCCAAGCAGCAATCTTCGGTCTGGAAAAGGGTTTGTGGAAGAAATTTCACCTTTTCCAGGACATTTGCAGCAGGTTGTGGGGTCCTGGAAACAGCTTTGCTGGAAAGTTTTTCCTTTCCGCGGTCCTGTGGGGTCCTTGCCTTAGGATCAAGTGTAGTATTTGTTCTGATCAGTCCTTTTTTTTTTTGGGTGGTTTAATATCTGATCTGTGGTGCATCGGCCCACTTAAAAAATAATAATAATAAAAAAAATTGCGCGACAGGACTTGCCTGCGCCCACTGGGCGCCCCCCCTAAAAACCCGTTCCTGACTGACCGGAATGCCAATTTTATGCGTAGGATGAAGTGGCTCCATTACTGCTGTAGCCTGTTTCAGCGCGAGCAGGCGCTCAGCAACAAAAGGGGGAGAGTTCCTTTTTTCTCGGTTTAAAAAAGGGTCAAAAAGGGAACAAAACGGAGTAGTGTTAGTTAGGTAATGTGAGGTGAAATTGAGAGAAAAAAAAAAAAAAAAAAAAGAGGAGATCTAAATTATCGATCGATAATTCGACACAATAATGTTAGCGGCCTTGCCACGATGGGGTCGTGGCACAAATCAATGGTGGGGCGTGGTGGAATTCGTGGTGCAATCAGACGAAAACAAAAGGTCGGTTGTACTTTTACGTACAAAAGCCGAAAGATACATTTCCTGAGGGCATACTCCCACCACAGTACGACATTTTTCCTTGAGCTGTGGACGTAATTGCGGTCAGATGCGCCCACACCAGACCGTAACTACAGTCAGATGCACCCACACCATACTGTAACTTGTTCGTTTTCTGCACCCGAGCCCGCCTGTAGCGAAAAAAATAGAATATATTCTTCGGAGATTCTCCTTCGTTTTAACATCGCCGCTCTCTCTCCTTTCATATTCCACTCGTTCTCCCCGCCATCGCCGGCGAAGCAGGTGCTGCTCGCGCTCTCAGGGTTGCCGCCGCCATCGCTACACCTTGGGATCGCCTCCGCCATCGCTCCACCTTCAGCCACTTTGCTTCACCGCGCTTCGTTACAAGCGACAATCAACAGCAAGAAAATGGCGCGCAAGTTTTTCGTCGGCGGCAACTGGAAGTGCAATGGCACCGTGGAGAGCGTTTCCAAGCTGGTGGATACGTTGAATGCGGGCGAGATTGTGTCTACTGACATTGTGGAGGTGGTGGTTGCTCCTACCTTCATCCATATCCCGCTGGTCAAGGATCGCCTTAGGAGCGAGATCCAGGTGTCTGCTCAGAACTGCTGGGTGAAGAAAGGCGGCGCGTACACCGGCGAGGTCAGCGCCGAGCAATTGGTTGATCTCGGCATTCCCTATGTGATCCTTGGGCACTCCGAGAGGCGACATATATTGAAGGAGAGCCACGATTTCGTCGGGCAGAAATGCGCTTATGCTCTTAGCAAGGGGTTGAAAGTGATCGCGTGTATTGGCGAGACGCTGGACGAGAGAGAGGCTGGCAACACAATCAAGGTGTGTGCGGAGCAGTTGATTGCCATCAAGGAGGCCATTGGCGAGAACTGGAGCGATGTGGTCGTGGCGTACGAGCCCGTGTGGGCGATCGGTACGGGGAAGGTAGCGACGCCAGAGCAGGCGGAGGAGGTGCACGCGGAGCTGAGGAAATGGCTGGCGGAGAACGTCAGCGCGGAAGTCGCGGAGGCCACGCGCATTCTGTACGGAGGATCTGTCACGGCGGGCAACTGCAAGGAGCTGGCCAAGAAGCCCAATGTCGATGGATTCCTCGTCGGCGGCGCCGCACTCAAGCCCGAGTTCATTGATATCATCAACTCCGCTCAGATCAAGGTGGCTGCCTAGAGAGAGAGAGAGAGAGAGAGAGAGAGAGAGAGAGAGAGAGAGAGAGAGAGAGAGAGAGAGGTTGATTGGTAGATGGATGAATGAATTCGTGTGTGTGTGTGTGTGTGTGTGTGTGAGAGAGAGAGAGAGAGAGGAGGAGGAGGAGGAGGAGGAGAGTAATGTTCGGTGGATTCGGTGGTTCGAGTTGAAAAGAATTTTGAGTTGATTTTAGTTCGACGAATAAAGCGGAGTTTTGTTGTTTTTCTTTTTTGAGAATGTGTTTGTGTCGTTATTCTGCGGAGAAAGAAGAGGAAGAGATCTGCGGAGAAAGAAAAGGAAGAGATCTGCGGAGAAAGAAAAGGAGAGAATTTGGGTATGTTTCCTACTTAGGAAAGTTCTGAAGTCTGTCTCAGATCAATCATTTTGATGAATATATCGTGCACGCTGCGTGCTCCTAACGACTGCTCATTTTGTCCATTTTGATGAATATATTCTGCGCGCCTGGATTGAACATAGTCAAAGCTTCGAATTTTCACCAGGACTATTAACTTGCATGTCGATGTTTTTTTTTTACTTGCATGTGGTGGTTTTTTTTTTTTTTTTTAAATTTGTTAAGGATATCAAAACATTCTTGTCTCCAAAGAAAAATTTGGACCATTTCTCGATTTATGCGTGTCATCCTTGCGCAGGGGCCGTGCTAATCTTCTCTGTATTGTTCCGATTTTAACGGATGTCCCGAAGGACATGTGGATTTATATTTATGGCGAGTACTGTTGTGCAGTGGGACACTGCCGAGCGATTGACCCCACGAGTGTATGACTAGTGTATGTGTCCATTTTTTACGGAAGTAGAAAGTCGACAAGTTATATTTTTCGCCAAGGACGGACTATTTTTCCCCCTCTAAACGTTTTCTTTCTCCTTTCCATAAAGTGTTTTGAAACGACAGTAACTTTTTATTTTTGCAGAAAGCGTATAAATAATCACCGCTCTTGCTCGATATTGTTTTTTTGAATATATAATATATCTATCTATATATCTCAGCGATTAAATCACTCGAAAAGGTACATGTACAGAAATCGTTAAAAATAAAATAAAATAGAGGTCAATCATCTTCGTGCGTGACTGCTCGTTCTATTTGTGCTATGACCATCAGCCGAGAGCTCTACGAAAGGGATCCCGGCAACTGAATGGAGATCCCATTCTCTCTGCCAACCTCATTCCTGCGGCTGCTACCGTCTTCACCCGAATAGAACGCCCGGTCCGTATCGCTGTAGCTAGACTGAAAGAAGCCCCAAATTCAGCTACAATCACCGGCCGGGCGTTCTATGAAGATGACGACGACGATTATACTGACGATGATGATGTGATGATAATGATGATCCTGGTGTTGATGATGATACTAATGGTAGTTGATGATGGCGATCATGACGATGAGGATAATTAATGATTACAAGGATAATTAACGAGTACAAGGATAATTATTAATTAATGATTACAATTTACAAGGATAATTAATGAGTACAAGGATCCCGGATTAATTCGAATCCGGTAAATGAAAGAAGTGGAACAAATGTATAATATTGTTTTTTTTTTTTTTTTTAATGTATAATATCGTTGTGTAGTTAGATTATAGCCATTTTTTCTTGGAACAAATTTACAATTATTGTTGTGTGGTTTCATTATTGCCATTTATGGGAACAAATTTATAATTATTGTTTTAGTGCATATTAGTATTTTATCGACATGCGGGCAAAAGAGAAAGCGACGGAGAGAGGCCAGAAATGGGAGGGGGGGAGGAAAGGAGACTCTGGAGGCTGTCGAAGGTTCATCCTTCTGCTGATAAGTGGGGTGAGAGTCTCTGACGAAACACGAACTGGGGCGTGGTCCCACTAACAAAGAGGATCGGATCGGATGCCTGAATCTGGACGTGTTTGTCCGAGAGGTGCAGGAAATCGAGATTGAGATTGAACTGATTTTCTGCATCTCTGCTTAAAACACGTCCACATTCAGGCATTCGATCCGATCGTCTTTGCTAATGGGACCTCGGCCCTGGGCTATCTAGCTCTGTTGGTACACCCCCACGAACTCTGAAATACAGACCGACTTCGAATCCAGATACACAATCAGACGACCTCCCCCAACCCCTCCCCCAAAAAAAACAAAAACAAAAAAAGTTGTTCAATTCATCAGACTTGTATGTACACAACTTAACCCCAAAAAACTAATTCCACTTTCCAAAGCGAGTACAGGCCTACTCCCGAGTTCCAACCTTTTTTTTTTTTTTTTTTTCCCCAACCTAATGGCAACCTCATCCCAAACCTCATCCCAGCCTGAACACCCATCCAACCCCAACCTAATCCCAACCTTTGTGGGAAAAAAAAAAAGAAAAAAAAGGACACCCTCTTGGGCCCAGCTTCTGTTCCGGGGAGCACAGGCCAGTTCGTTTTTTTTTTTTTTTTTTTTTTGATGGACCGTAGATCAGATGGTAAACTGATTAGAACAGAATCAACAGATACTACACTTGATCTATTTTTAGCCGAAAGGCCGAGCACAGGCCCGTTCCTATTCCACCAGCAGGGCCAGCAAGTCAAGAATAGTTTATTTAAAATACATATTAAGTTTATAAACCTCATTTGGACGCTTCCCCACCTTCCAACCTAATCCCTAAACCTAATCCCCACCCAATCGCAAACCTAATCCCCCCAACCTAATCCTCCCAACTTAACCCTCCAGACCTAATCTATCCCGACATAATCCCAACCTAAGAGAGGCTTATCCCAGATGTAACCCACAACCGAATCCGAAACAGATTCCACATTCCACAACGAGTTAAGCAGGCGGCTTATCGCATTCGCATGGTCACAGTCCACAGTCTGTCCATCTGCTAATGCTATTTTTGAATTCGGATTCACACTTGCACATACACCAGGGAACACACTCACTTTACATCCAAGGTCTTATCCCACCGGTATCTGGACAATGGTCTTGTCCAGATAGTGATGAAGGGAAGCCGGCACCTTTTCTACATGTATACATAGAGCATACACTCATCACTGGTACGCCTATACTATTTATTGTGTTTCGGCTGCGGAGAGCCTCAGGAAAAAGACAACAGGGTAGCGACTGGAGTCATGAGAAACTCTCTGACAAAACAGAATCTTCAGTTCAATCCCCGTCTAAAACCCAGACATTTTCCGTGGTCGTGCAGACATTCCCCCCGCTTGTTCTTCCGGCGAGCCTTGGGGAAGATGACAGGCTAGTGACTGCAGTCATGAGAAGGTTTAGAAACTCTCCGAAGATACAGAATCTTCGGTTCGATCTCCATCCGAGACCCGGAGTTTTTTCCTGCTTGTGCAGACATTCCCCTCACTGTTCTTCCGGATCGGGCGGCCCCTTTTCCTTTTGTTAAGGTGCTTCTCTCCTTCCAACGAGCTCTGATCTACGGCAATGTACTCCTTTGTTGCCTTTCTAGGAACCTTTCTTGTCCGGGCTTTCGGGGTTTGTGGTACCCTTGGCTTCAGGGCCTGCGCCCTCCTGGGTTTTCGGGACACGGGCATCTTTTCCTTCAACATGTCATCCCTTACGGCCCGCAAACGAGTAACCAGCGCACCTATTTTGCCGGCATGCTTTCCCGCGTCGCGCTTCTGCCGTGAGCCGGAAACTGCTTTGTGCAGCCCCTCCACCAGCTCGTACCTGTAAATGTCCTTCGCCATCCTGGTCAAAGCAGTTGACCTCTGCCAAGGACGCATTCGGCAGTAGTGGCGGCGCTTTGAGTCAGTGAAAGCCAGCGATCCATGCCACGGGTGCAGTTGGTGGCTGTATTGAGGCCGTTCTTCTTTGATGACGTCATGCTTGGCAGACCTTGAGGCAATCCAGTTGAATGCAGCAGCGTACGCCTGAGCGGAACAGTAGGTGTTTTCGAAAACACCGTAGAACCTCATGCCGGATTCGGTTTTGCCGACGATTGGGAAGAAGTCGGTGTCAAAGTTCTCTGCGATCACGGCTGCAAGGAGTACCATCCACGCGTCCACAGAGAACTTCATGGTCCTTCGCAGCCGACCCGGCCTCTTAACTCCTTGGTTCAAACCTGGGATCCGCTTCAGAGTGACGTCTTCACATCCTCCTTTCAGAGACTTCTCCCATGCTACCTCGCTCATGCCGCCGCCCGAACTTTCTGCAAGCTGAAGAAAATGGTTGGTCAACAAACGCTCAGCGTTCGTTAGAGCTCGCTGTGCTTCTAAGTCTTGCATCTGCAGGCCAAAGCCGTCGCGAAGCATCTTCTTAACTTTTGCCAGTGTGCGTTTTCCTGGCGTCCCTCGGCTATGCGAGTGATCGATCCTTTGGCCCTCTCCTTTCTCCTCTTCCCTTTCACCTGCTGCATGCACTGCTTCATCATCGCCCTCTATTCTGTCCTTGTGAGCGCGTTTCGAGTCATCCCTCACAGAGGCCATGATCGACACACCTCTCTGGCGTTTACTTTCCTCCTCCTGATAATCCTTATCGTTCACGTTGACCTGGCTGACATCATCATCACTTACAGCGTCAGATGAAGTCATCAAATCGTCACTGTCACTCTCCGAGTTCAAAGCATCCTTTTCCTTGTCGGAGTCTCCCTCGCCTTCCTCAGGATCACCGTTCTCCTCCTGCTTTCGGGAGGACGTCTGCCCCTGATCCTCTGAGCAAACAGGATCGCCCGATGCAGCAAGTCTTTGCAACCTGCTGACCCGCACTCCGTTGGAAGGACCTTTCCTAAGTCTTGTAAAGTGCATCCTAGGAGTCGTCCCTTTCGCACCTATGCCTGTATCGGCGCTAAGTTCGGCATCTTCGTGTGCAGAGAAGGTCCCCCCAGGCACCCCGGGGTTCTTCGGGTTGGCATGCGTTGACAACGATGGCTGGCCGGAGGGGCTGGCCCAGGAAGAAGACATACCTGCTGAATGTTCTTTACAATCTTCAGTTGGCATTGGCATGCCATCATCGTCCAAAACCTGGACACATGGATGGTCGGGTCCTTTTGGAGGACGCAAAACATCCGCTTCAGGAAAGCTGTTGAGATCAACTGATGGTGAAGTGGATGGACGGGGAACAGGCGGGATTAGGTGAGCTAACCCTTTGCTAATACAATCAGGGAGCCCTGTCTTTGTCGCTTCGCTATACGGAGTGGGCTCGATTCTTGGTTCATTTGCTGACAATGGCACATTCATTCTCGGTTTGTTCCCTGATGATGGGAAAGTTTGTGTTTCGTTCACTGATGATGGTGGTTCCGTTCTTGGTTCGTTTTCTACTGATGGAGGTTCGGTTCTTTGTCTGGTTCTTGGGTCGGTTCGTTGTTCGGTTCGCTGTTCGGTGCTTGGTTCGGTTGCTGATGACGGTGGCTTGGTTCTTGGTTCGCGCGTTGGCAATGATGGCATCTTCGCTTTGTAGTCTGGGAGACCTGTCTTTTCTGCATCGCTATAAGGCATGATGACCTTGGTCCGTGGCGCATCTTCTGATGATGGTGGCCCTTTCGCGTTGCGCTCCGGGAGACCTGTCTGTTCTGCATGGTTACAATGAATGGACTTGCTCCCTGGCTCCTTTGCTGACGATGGGCGCATCGGCTCTGCTGCTATCGCCTCCTCCTGCTCTTGCTTTACTTCGATGCTCGCAAATCCGATCAACTGACCGTGCTGACGATCCTTACGGTTCTTAGAAAGTAAAGTGTGTACTTTCCTCAGGCGCGCCTCGTCTTCTTGCTTGACGGTTCTTCGCCCAGCAGTGGTCCCCACTTGTCCATCCTTCCTTGTAAGCCCTCCCTTACTTGGTTGTGGCCCCTGTCGACTGACTAGTGAGGGCATCAGTAGACTCTGAGGGACATGTTTCGAGCGAGCAAACTTAGAGTGGAGCGATTTTGAACATTTGTGACAAAATTCTAAGGGCCTTTTGTCTGGTCCAACCCCACATTCTCGGCAGCGAACAATGGCAGGGGCAGTTTCGCATTCGTCACATATAAAGGCCTTTGCTGGAAGCTGTTCGACGACATGGTGTGCACGTGCCTTCTTCGAATGCAAAGTTTGGTGGCAACGATCGCAGTAATTCAGGTCTTCAGTGACGCAATGTATTGTAGCTTCTACGTTCTCGCACTGTGCACAGAGGCGCGGTGCCATCTTGATGCTTCAGTTACGACCGCAAGGAGGCTTTTGGAATTGACTTTATTCCAAGTGACTTATATACAGTCATTAACTGACGTTAAGCAAAGGACTTGGATTTCAGGTTCTGTGACCCCAGACTCCTTGCAAAACAAGCCAGCCAAGGTCCCTCTTTGTACATCACCTCACCAAATCTGCCTCCCTCTGCTCCTCAATATCAACTAGGGGAATCGTGCGACAGGGAACCGACTAATCTCTCTCTCCTATTTCCCCCTCCTCCCCC